TGAAGTGAACCAACTAACTGAAGTTCATTGCATGGATGCACCAGTGAATAATCTGGCATTCTCCACCACTTCTTCTCTTACTTCCTCAGAAGTGAATCAGGAGAGAATTAATTCTTTCATTGTAGTTCCTACATTTTAGTAATTTCTTTTGTCTGGGAAAAATGTTTAAATTCATCTAAAAATCCTATGCTTGCCATCACCAAGTTTTAGCAAAGCGGAATACTATGGACAGCACAACAACAGCTCTGGTGAAGAAGGTCTTGAAATATAGCATCAGCTTCCAACCCAGGCTGTGCCACCGACTGGCTGTCTGACTTCCAGCAAATCACTCTTCACCCTGAGCCTCAGTTTCCAGTCCATAAAATGTGGCTCACAGACTCACCTCACCGGTTTGGAGAGGGCGCCTGGAATACAGGAGGTGTTCAATAAATACTTGTTGAAACTGAACAAAGGTCAGTCAGTGATGGCTCCAGAAGTAGTGATGCTAAAGGCATTTTAATCAAATTTATCTTATTAAGTAGTTCTCCAGATTCCAAAGTAACAAGTAGAGGTAGTGTGATAAATTTAATACGAATAGCATGGAATGCACCAATAGGCCACACGGCACTCCAGTACATTAGGTAGCCTTCCACTTCACTTGAAAACTAATGCTAGGGAACTGACCTTCACAATTAGCTGGAAGGTTAACATTGGAGCTTTTATTATCTCTGAAGTATTTTTATTATTTTGTCGAATTGCAAGAAATAATAAAAAATATAAATTACTAGAAATAATTCATTTGACCAATATTAACCAAAAATTTTATTCTAGAATTATTGTCTAGTGAAGAGAATAACATTTTGTAAAATTCACATGTGACTACTTTTTGACTATTAATGATTTTAAAAACCCTAAAAACCCTTGAGTTTGCCACTCATTATCTCTGGATAGCCCAGAAAAATAAAATGGCTCGTGATAGGCCTACACTAAATTTTTGTGGAATTAAATTAAACTATTGACTCACAAACAATACATACTGAATAAAATGACACCACTGGTCACTTTTTAAACAGTCTGTTTTGAAAACAGAAGGACTCCAACTAGAATATGTGGTCCCTGAAAATATCAAACGGATTAATTTTGGCTTGTTAATGGCAAAGAATGTCATTTCACAACTACGAGAGGAAATGTCAGGTCTGGAACTGGATGGATTAGAGAGGAGCAGATTGCCAGAAACAAAGGCAACAAAGAAAGAAAAATGTCTTCTAAGCACACTGAAGCAAAACAAATGATTGGATTTGGGATTTAACAAAATATAATCTTATTTGCCTTTGCTCTTTCACCCATTCCTTTTTCTATCCTAAGACAATATGAGTTTCCCCTTCTCCGGCCATGAGTTTCTTTTGAGGAAAAGATTGCTGATAATTAATGGCAATACAGAGAAGGATGTTATCAATAGTTTGGCACATTAGCCTTTTATGCTTAGAGAATGTTATATTTATGATAAATTTTAATGCCAAAAATTATTTTCATTTCGTTTTGGTGAGAGGTAAAACAAGAATAATCAAATTAGAGCAGATTATTGAATTATATCTGAAGAATAAATAGTGCTTATTTTAGGGGTTTAATTTAGCGGTAGTGTTTATTTTTTAGCGACAATTATTTTTAATAAGAAAACAAGTGTTATCATGGAACAACTGGATTTTTTTTAAAGTTTGACAATTCAAAGTACCAAAGCTAAAGCTGATAATCTACACTTTATCAGGCAAAGTACAGAACAATGTATTTGTTTACAATTTATGGTTGAATACTGGCCCCAGGATTAAGAATTAGGAAATTATCCGTATAGCAAACAGATCTTAGTTAAACATAGTATTAATCTATGCTGCAAGGTATTATCCCGCTCTCTGGAGGATGCCAGAGTCACTTAGCTAGCTGAATAATCTCAGTCACTCTATCACAAGTTTTTCATCTCTCACTTTCTTCATAGGCCTGGAGTAGAAGCCTATCTTTTCAGAAGGATGTTAAAAGAGTACATGAAAAGCTTGTGCAAAAATAAACTATAGCACCTCAGGCTTCTTAATTTTTACACTATAATACCTTGGATTTTTCTACCTTGACACATTCAGAGTGAATTCTTTGATGAAAAGAGAGAGAAATAAATTACATATGGAATGAAGAGAACCTTTATTATCATTTTAATAGTCCACAGACACATAAAAGGAAGACGCGTTCACTATGTGGTGGGACCTAAAACTAAAAATATTCACTGACTTAGTAATAAAAAAATTTTAATATGATATGAAAAATGGAAACAGTCTTTTGAAGCGATGTGAATATGCAACTTTCCACAAAGGCTTCAAGAATATTTAACGAAGGAAAATAAAATCAAACCATTGTATGGCTTTGTCAATAACTAGAGTGTGCTCCTCTTATAATATTTTTGAACTTAATGAAAATAATAAATATATCCATAGACTGTCAGAGATCATGAGGAATGAAATTCCAGATGCTGGAAATAATCAACTTTTACCAACAGCTTCATAAACAACCGTAGCAAAAAGCCCTCATTTGCAGGAGACATCAGGTAGATTTAACGTGGATATAATACGCAATTTAGGTAGTTGATGATGGATTAGAATGGAGATGTCACTGTTATTTATTCCTAACCTTTTCAAGATAGTCCTGGATTGTCTTTCTATTGAGAGCCTGAATGTTCAGTGTGGGGAGATTGCCTCAGGCTCCCTGCTTTTGTTGGGGTTTTGATGTCTTGAATGGAGGGAGTGATGCCGGGGACTCCTCCCACGTGCTCCCAATTATCTATACATTATTGCATATTCTCTGCCACCAGGATGCTCTTCCCAGAGCTATGATCCTCCCAAAGCAGCATCCGATTCAAATAATAATAAAATAAAAATGAAAATTAAAATAGGAGGGGTTTTTTTTTATTATTATTTGAATGACATACGACCTGCTCGTTGTTTGCATTTAAATTGGGCAGAATAATTCAGCTCCAGCTTTTAATTTCAAAAGGGTTAATCACCTTAACAAAGGTCAATCAAACTTTAATCTTCAATCAAATTGCTACAGCCCCAATCACCTACAGGACATTTATTATATTTCTATTTCCACGTGAAAGAATGCATGCCTTTCATTATGCATTACTAATCTTCTAACTCTTTACATTAGCACATTTTACCAAAAATATTAATTCCTTTGAAACTCTGACAAGAGTTCATTTCTACACATCTCACAAGATAATCCTGTTTGAAAGAACGGGTGCAACGGCTATGAGCCACTTTCCTGGCCCTTTCTAATCCCCATAGACCTTCGCTACTCCAACTGAGTTCTTACAATAGCAAATCTCAATTACACAAAATACTACGGAGGTTTAGGTTAAAACAACATTATATTATTTTAGGAACTTAATCCTCCCATTGTCTGTGATTATGCCATTCATCTACCTGTTTCCATCCATGATGTTTACCGCATACAAAAGTTATTGATTTGGAGGAAGCAAATGTTAATCATGTTTGAATAGCAGTAGGAAGACTTAAATTCATTAATTCATCCACTCAATAAATATATATTGAGTGCCTATTTTGTGCCAGATACAAGGAGGGGAGAGATGCAAAGTCAAAAAAAAGAGAGAGTCTCTAACATGAGAATAATGTTCTCTTCTGGAAATGATGTCCAGAATACAATAATGACTTAAACCTCCACTTTCAGCTTTTCTTATAAACATCCTTAAATTTTACTGAAGATTGGAAATGCATTAAGTCAAATTTTAACCAAAATTTCAATAAACAGTTTTTTAAATTATCTGGACACTTAAAGGTTTCAAAATTCATAATCCCATAAAATGGTTAATTTTTTAAATTTGAGAATATGAACTTTGATTTTCAAATTTTAAAATGAGTATATTCAGAATATCGAGTCTCCCATGGTTAGGAATAAAACTATGAGGAAGTGTAAATGGGGTTTTAAAAAAAAATACATTCTCTGCACTAATCTGTTTCCAAAATGCTATTTCATGATGTTTAAAAACTGCTATTAACACAAAAGACAAATAGCAACCGGCAAAAACAAATCAGTGCTTTTTGTTGCCATGATATAGTGGCCTGGATGACCACGGAGGGAAAGTAAAAGAATTTTAATGTAAGTCCCAATTATATTGCAAATTGATTGCCTTAGTATTATAGTGGTGGTGTGACACAGCATAAATAACCCAAACTTTGCCTTCTGCATATTTTTTTTGAGATGCTTTCCTCTCTCTTTGTACTCAGAGGAAGCACACCAGCATATACACAGAGGCGCAAGTCCCTCCTCATCAATATTCACATTCATTAATTAGCAATATGTGAAGGCTATAATTTGGGAAACTCCCCAGAGTTTGAACATTCAATCAAGCAAAGCAAATCATAGTAAAAAGAAAATACAGGTATAACAGTCAATGGCCAGTCTGGCATTGGGGAATAGCACACAATTTCAAGAAATATCGGTCTTTCTAAATGTTGTGAAAAAAGCCCCAATTAAGTCAAGACCTCAGCCCTCCTTCCCCCCAATTTGAGCATTTCTTGAAACTGAAATAGAACCTCTACATATTCTATAACGAGGCTTGCTTTTTTTCACTCTTCTAATTAGATTGGTACAATAGAACAAAGCAGAGCAAAAGCTTTCATTGTTGAGCAAAATAAATCCAATTCTACAAAACATAAATGTTCTATTGATATTTGTTACCAAATAGTTACTCTGAAAACTGATAAAGATTAGCTAGACATAACAACAAGAAAACATTGCTTTATATTTCATTCTCAGTACCAAAAGCTATTTCATTGTATTTCTCAATTTCTAGATTTGGAAAAATCTCAAAGCCTTCAGAGAATATGCTGTAAATGCTCAAGAAGTATTTGGATCCTTTTATGAATCATTTTGATCACAAAACAAAAAAGAACCCACCAACCATCAAACAAAAATCTAAATAAGAAAGCCCGGGTTATGGCATTATGAAAGAAACATACCTTTGGCTGAACAAGTTCGCGATTTCTCGTCTTGCCTACATAGCTTTGCCGTTCCACCTTGAGCAAAAGTCGACTCGGTGTCCCTTGTGATCTTTGTGACAATGCCATCATATCACTGGCAAATTTTTCGATTAAACTTTGCAGACGTAGTAGCAACTTTGTTAATTATGATATTAGCCAGCTGGCGGGTACAATCAGTCAACCGCTGTAAGAAAGCCAGACAAAGAGACATCTAATCATTGCAACCAGAGCAGATAAATTTTGTTCCTTTCGCATACGTGTCACAGATTCTATCCCTTCTGACCCTCTCCTCAGCCATCGACTGTCAAATTTAGATTCTGCGAGCTCCCAGCTTCCCTTTATCCCTCCCTTAGATCTGAAACTCCTGGTTATCAGGAAGACACGCGTCACCAGCTGTCTCAGAGCAGGAAAGCAATCAGGTGAATACTACTTATTATCTTGCATTGCTTCCCGAGAAGTGACAAGATTGATTTGGGCCCAAGAATACATTCAGATCTCAGGCATGTAGTTCCTAGGGTTTTGACTTCAAACAGTAGGGTATGTGCAAAGTTGCAGTAAGGAGGGCTTCAATCCCAATGTTAAGGATATGGGATATTAGAATAAGGAGTATTTTCAAAAATCTACCAGAGTTCCTTTTTCAGATGCCTTTGCATTTTCTTTTCCACCTTTGTGATATGTTGGAATGTCTATGGGCAGATTGTTACCGGGAGGAGCCAGCTTCACGGCGAAGTAGCCTTAAGTTAACCCATGGACACAGTATTCCGACATGAAGTTGTCTCCACCTGTCCCTTTTTCATCAAGAAGAGTACCCTATAAATTCTAATATCTGGAACACATCCTCCCATAAAGGTTCAAATCATATTTAAACGGAATAATTTGAGACACTAATTTGGGTATCTCAACTAAAAATAGCTTATACAACTTCAGATTGTGAGACAGACATCTTTACATCCTAATACAAATTTTCCTTTCAAAAAATTAGTCTACTGAAATCATATGGAAGTATCTATCTATTAATCAATTGATCAATAGGTAAATAGACACAAACATACATATAATGAATTTGCTGAAATTTAAATGTATACTAGGTAATACACATAACATTCCTATAAAATGATACAACAAAGATCTTTGAAAATGAAACAGTCAATTGATCAGTAAAGAGCCTGATCCTGCATGGTAAGCCATTAAACCAACATGATACCTACTAAAGGATTATCTTTCCCCATTGAAATGTTTAGGCATCAGTAAAGTAAAAAGTTTTCTCTGCGGAGTTTAAAAAAGAGTAATATACAATATGATAATAAAGTGATATTCATCAAGATATTAGTAGTTCTTTCTGGGATGGAAGAACTTGGTGAAAAGTTAAAATGCAAGTTTGAAGTGCATTTTATATGAGAATTCTTTATATTTGGCTCTCTAAAAGGGTCAAAGAAAATTACAGGTATAGTACACTATATTAATAAATCATGGTATGTACCCTAAATTTACATTTTATTTTCACATGAATTAAGAATTCATAATTCAAAATTATGAATTCATAATTTTCCTGTAACAGAGGGTCCAAAGTCCCTGCACATGGTTTATTTAGCCGAAAGTGCTGAAAAGATAAATGTATTTACATGTAATCTAAGATACATGCAAGGAGGATAAGATGATTTAGGGATCCCTAAAACCACAGAGAAAGGTACATTTATCCTAGGGAGACAAAACTGTTTCTTAAATATCACCAGAATAGAGATGAGAAGGGGAAAATATGGTTTCAGGAATTCTTAGACTATATATATCTCCTGCGGAGAGTAAGATATTCTTTATTTTCATGGCTTGGGTTGATATTAGGAAATGAGTCACAGCCCATAAAAGCAAAGAATAAAGTCGGAAATGTTAGAGGATGAGAGTGTGTTGTGGCACAATGTGAGGGACAAAGAATCTTAGATGTTACTGTTAGGAAATGAGCCATGCCGGTCACATTCACCATCGTAGCCTCGACAATCACCATGGGGGCTGGCGCACAGTAGTTTCTCAAGAAATACATGTTGATGAAGAATGGATACTTTTGTTGCACACATCATCCTCCTCAAAGCGCAATTTAACCACTTTCAAAATTAGATAATGCAAAAAGAATCACTCCTTAAGCCTGATGTTGATTACTACATATTAATTACTCATATATTCACTCAACATTATATCTTTAAAACACTGAAAGAGTTCATACCTAAAAAGACTTCGAAACAGACATTTCTCTTAAGATTCCAAAATAAGTGTTTCAATAATGCTCATTCTTTGCTCATACGAAAATTATTCTAATTAAGACAGTTAGAATGAGTCAAAAACCTCTTTACTCTGAGTGAAAACAGGACGTTTTCCTAGGAAATTCTAAGGGAATAATATACACTACATACACAGAGTTTTACATTGCAGTAGTATCTATAAGAAAAACCCAGCGTCCTAATGTCCCCAAAGAGAGAAATTATTAAATAAATTATAACATTTACTCATATGCAGCCATTATGTGATAATGAGGATGATTGAGGAAACCAACTTCTTATGGCTATACCGAACGAAAAAAGTAGAATACTGAATTGTGCATATTGTTGATTATTGTGTACATTTGGACAAAGATTGGAAGGAGAAATGTCAAAATAGGAAATATGTTCTGTAGGATTAGAAAGTATTTCTTCTCTTACAAAAGATTGCTTTCACAGTATTATAATTGTTAATCTCAAAAAGTGGGAATAAAAGACCCCATCTGTAAAATGAGAATAATAATAATAATATCCTCCTAATAGTGTTTTGGTGTTAAATCAGATAATGTACGTAAAACCTTTTACATATTTCCTGACCTGCAATAAACGCTCATTCCATACCTAAGTTATTATCTTTACTATAACCACCATGTAAAGAATCCTGACGTCTGTTTACACTATATCTTTTATTTTTTCTGGAAATTATCAAAATGTGATTGAATTAAATGAGGAAATCTGAAACAAGAAAAACGCAGGATTTTAAACACAAGCAACCAGGCACAGAAATATAGCCTAGATGGTACAACTGATTTATAAAATAGTGATGACAACAATAATAATCAATAGATACATGTGACTTCAGCTACAAATTATACTTTGCATAAGACCTGTAAGACCTGTATTATTTTATAAGACCTATACTTTTGATTCCTCTGTGGCAGCTTATGACATGCCCATAAAGAAGCAGGACTGCTATATAAACTGAAGTTGAAATAGGAGAAATTGACCTGGAGGAATTTACAACACCTGGAGGAATCTCAGTACTCTTCTTTTTATTTTCCATTGTGAGCACTTGCTGATTTCTGATCTCTGTGGGCACAAATTCTGACTCACAGCATAATCATCTAAGACTGCTCTTTCTCTAGGGCATGGCAGTGCCACGCATCACAATGGGTTGTTTATTATATAAACACAATGTATAGCTGTGGAATTTTCTAAAGATGGAAGCAGTCAGTGAGAACAAAGCAATCTAGACTTGGAAACACTGTCCATGGAGAACCACGGAGAGGTATCCGCTGTGGATCCACACAGACCACAAAGCCCTACTCTGCTACAGATGCTTTTATTGATGTGCCACAAATCGTCTTCCATTAGCCCTTGCATCAGTGCGTCCTAATTTCTCTGATCATTTGAATATGTTTAATTAAATCTCATATCTATATTCATTTCATTTCTGCCTTCCGGCATGCTGGATGTAGACTCAAATGCTTAAATTTCCACCTCTGTTGTGCTGTCGTCTCAGGAGTCAGACATCCTCCTTCCGTTCCATTCCTGGCTCCTCACTTACCAGCTCTGGGACATTGGGCAAATTATTAAACCTTGTTAAGACTCCGTTTTAAAATAACAACACCCTGTAATGCTATTGTAAAGATTAAATAATACATCAGCTGCCAAGCACATAGTAGGTATCCAATTAATGTTCTCTCATTGCTGAAGCAGCAATGGAATCACCGGGAAGCAACACAACCCAGGAAATAGGAGCAAGGGATCCAGAATCACACTTTGCGGGTAAATTCAGATCTGGCTTTCTCATTTAAATAATTAACAACAACAAAACAACAATAGTAATAATAACTTCCTCATAGAGTTATAAGAATTAAATGATTACTGTAAAGTACTTACCACACAGTAAATAATGTTTGCAATTAATAGTATTACTCTGCCTGCTATGCTAATTGGTTATTTCTTCCCATTGCTTAACTATTACGTAGCGAAAATAAATGGGGACTTTGTGAAGACCTGAGAATACCTGTCACATATGCTTGACAATAGATGCACAAGGATCCTTGTTGCAGTACGATTTGTAACTGAGTCAAGAATAATCTAAAAAGTCACCAAAAGTAACTGGTTAAATAAGGTATGTTATAGCCACACTGTGGAATGCCATGCAGCCATGACGAAGTACTGATGTGAAATTATTTCCATGATGCGTTTTTAAGAGACAGGAGAATGGTGCAGAACCATGTGTATTGTATGTTATCATTTTGTTTACTGAGGATTTTGTAGACAGTGGTTGTGTATATAGGGAATATCTCTGAAAAATACCCAAGAAAGGCTAACAAGGGTTGCTTCGTAGGGAAGCTTGGGGCTTGGGGGCCAGAAATAGAAGAATTACTCTTTACAGTATGTTCTTTGCTATTGTATGAATTTGTGTTATAGATATGCAGCTCTCTTTTTAAAACATTAACAAATTAAACAACTTTTTTTAACGAAATGTCTTTGTCCCTACTTGAATGTGCAGTCTATTTCAGTTTCTTTATAAAAAGCCTAGATACTCTCCACTTCCCATACTAGTGGACATGACTCAGCCACTGTGTCTGCCCACTGGAACCACAGGTCACAAAGCGCTGTTTCTTTGCACCATAACATGACCCTGCTCCCTTTTGCTTCCAACTCTCATTTCAATGCTAATTTCAATAGCGTTTGTTGCATGAGTTGATTTTTCTCACCCAATAAATGTCAAAATGTTGATATTTATGCAGCATCTCCTTTCTCAAAGGATGTTTCCTCATAAAGGATTTAACTCAGCCTATGAGAGACAAACTGCATTCCTACATTCTGGGCAATTCTAGAGTGATTTCAAGTGAGGAGTTCTCTCATGTTACGAATGTACACATTTGTCCTCAGACAGGCAATTCACTCTCAGGGCTAACTTCCCTAGATGCCAGCAGAATCTCCAGAGCCAAGGGCTTCTAATGGGGCACAAGACACATCAATGAGCACATACTCCTAGTATATAAGAAATTGTGAACTGACAACCTGAAACTTTGATGTAGGATTAAAACAAGACTTTTCTTGTCTTTTCAAATATGCAAATTTGAGAACTCATCACTAATTACAAATATTATCTAAACAAATGTCAATTGATACCTTTGTAGGAATCGTTTATGCATCACATTTTCTCCCCGTTTGGAACAAATAGTCTTTCCTACTTTTAAAAGGTCCAACTACCAATCACAGACGTTACACATCAGAATGCTTGGCTTTACAACAGGGCGATGTGAGGCCTGTCTGTGAAACAGCATTGACCCCATAGTGGAAAGATGATGGCTAAACAGCTTAGTTGATGTGCTAGACACAATAGCCAACACTTGGGTGCACTTGATAACAAGAGCTCTCATCAGCAGCAGCGTCGTTGTCATCATCATTGATTTTAAACACCATTAGATGGTCAACCGCAGCTCTAGAGTTTGAAAAACTGCTGGTTTTTACCACTTGCTAATGTTTCTTTTCCAGAGCAAATGTTGTCCATAAAATGAATACAGGTCCATAGAACAATTGGTAATACTTCTCCTATACACCAGCACTTCTCAAACTTTCACGATCATGTAAGTCACTTGGGGATCTGGTCAAAATGCAGATTTTGACTCAGTAGGTGTGGGGTGGAGCCTGCCATTGCCGACAGGCTCTGAAGTAATGCTGCTGCTGGTTGCGGAGTACCAAGTTTACACACCCCTGAGCACTTTACAGAGGGTGAGGACGACATGCTTAGTAATGAATGCAACGAATATTAAACCATATACCTATATGCACAACCAAATTATAATTTTTTCTTCTTTCTCATGCTTACCTTGCTGAACGGCACTTAAATTTCTCAGTCTTGAAATAAAACGCAAGTGCGCAGCAAAATATAACTAGAGTTTCCTCTCTACGTTAACTCCTGGTGGATACAAAGGCAAGGAAAAAGATTCCAATTATATTATTCATAATGGAAGGGTCACATTTACAAAGTTTTTTTTTTTTGGTGAAAAGGCAAAGATTTTAACCTTGAGATATTTTTCAGAGTGATAACTTATTTCCTTTCTTGTCACAACACGGGTATACAGTCATAATTTATATTCACTCTGTTTGGACTGACAACAAAATAAGGTATTAACAAAATCCTTTTTCTGTGATCTGTATGCTTCTCTTGTGTAACTAAATATTTATATCTGTTTCTAATACAACTACTTAAAGCTAAACGGTTTAATCGGTAAGAATGTTGTACCCTCGGTAAGCTGATATGCTCTAACACTTAACAATTCTGGAAATATTTGCTAAGCTTCCATTATCATTTCTCTTGCTATAAGCTAATTCCCTTGATTTGCTTGAGGACAACTGGAGGAAAAAATAATAGAGTTTTAACGTGGTAAAATAATACTCTAAATTCTAAAACCTAGCATCTAGGCAAAAGCTTACTAGAGATTATATGGTCCAAATCAGTTTTGTTTTTGTTTTTGTTTCCAGGCCTTTTTTTAACTGCCATCCATGGTAAGAAAATATTTGCAACGCAACCAAGTATGACAAACACACTCAAAATATTTTGGAAAAAATGCATTCATGAAACAATACTTACTATGTGCAATGCACTCTGATAATTCTTTTTTCTCTTACTTTTTTTCCTTATGTCAGATGGGTAATGTGCTGATGTCATAACAAGGATTGTGGGAAGGCACATCTTACATAACAGCGTGAATACCCAATCACCACGCTCATGAACTACAAAGGCTTTTTTTTTTTAATGCTGGTTATGATCTACTAAGTTGACTTCATGACCCACTAACGGGTCATTCAAACTTCCGAGTTTGAAAATAATGCAGCCTAGGGCAACTTCTGGGAGGCTGGTTGCCTGGAAGTTTATGGATACAAGAGATGTATAAGAATTGAGGCCACATCATGACTGTCACAGACCAACAGGCATAGTCCAACAGACAGTACAAGGGCATTTCAGTGGCAGTTAATAGTTAGAAACCACATCTCCACCAACACACCCAATATAAATGTTTTCTCTCCTTCCTTCTTTGGAGGATAACGTAAGAAAATCACCTTTCACACTTAGGTAGAATAATGGAGTACAAGTGAGTTATCCAATTAATGCTAGGAAATAATGATCAGGCAGGTTAAGAATAAGTATGTGTCGGAATATATAAACACAAAGAAACATGCAGGTAGCAATTTAGCATCTTTTAAACAAATTCTAATGTGGTAAGCTGCCTTGACCTGGGAGTTACATCAGTGAACCAAACGGACATTATTTGAATGTAAACTGGAACTTTTGAGGATTTGTAAATCCTCAAAGCATAGAAATAAAATGAAATTTTGACTTATGTTGATCCATTTCATGTGGGACAGGCCAAACCGTACCTTTCAGAAGTTCACGCAGCACAGAATCATCATAGACTAAGAGTGTAGACATTTTTGTTTCAATTTTACAGAAGGAACACAGCAATCAGGTATGTGAGTGAAGAAACTAAAGCAAATAAAGTCAGGAAAACTAAATGAAGTACATAGAAATCACCTATCTTTGCCCAGCTGGTGGCTAGATCTTTCCTTTCCAATAAAACATTAACAAATAAACAAACAATCAAAGAGAAAGCAAATCCCAGTTGGTAGCAAGGTAGAAAAATAGGTTAGAGGGGAGTAACACCCGTTTTAGTGGGTCTCAGAGTAGTTCTGCCTGAAGAAGGGTTGGATAACCTTTTATATTTCCTTCCTGCACAGTTATTCTCAGATCCCATATGGAAAGTACAAAAATAGTGAAGAAAATCTCCCTGGTTCAGAGTTGGGTACCATGCGGGGGCTTGAGAGATACTTTTGAGTGGAGGAAAGTTAGCTGAATATTTTTAAAACAGCAATATTTTAAAGTTATGATTAGGCATCAAATCCTTTATATATTTTATTTCCAGATATTTTATGGAAAATGTTTATTCTGACAATTCACTAATAGTTATTAGTATATTTAGTGTATACGTGTTGGGATAAGGATATGTTTAATAGACCAGAAGGTCATATCACAATATTCTTGCTAAAGAAAGACCTTTTTGTAACTCTCTCAAGGGCCACTGGCTCTTCAGAAACATCAGTTTTTTTGCTCAGCTGAAATTATTCTGACAGCTTTGACATTACATTATCATCACAAGATCGTGGTATATTTAAAGATAAATGAGGATTTATGGGGAATTAAAAATAAAAAGAATTAATAAAAGTCTGCAAAATACCAGATTAGAATATGAAAGGTTACTCTGATAAAAACTTGATATTTTCTGGTTCAATTAATCATATCTTTATTTGCTTTAATGTGGCTAAAAACAATGCATGCTCTTCCCTCAACATCCCTCCACTCCCACCTCACACAAGAACATGCACATTTCATTTTAACGATTTGTTTAAGGGAAATGATGATATTTTAGCATCCTATGACCCAGACTGATTTCTCCATATGGCTTAGTTCTGATTCTACCTGATTTTCTTTGCAATTCAGTCTCTCTCACGACCATCAAAAAGAGGAATATTGCCCAGCAGAATCTTTATAGTTCTACAGTGGATCTTTCTAAGTAGGTTGTACACCTTCTGCTGTAATATGGTCTGTTAAAAGATATTATGCTATCATACAATGTACTAAATTGCAAAAATCTGTTGTTCTTATTTCCTATGCAAATCTGATCCTACAACATCCATACACACTCATACACGCATCTCAAATCAAGTCCCTTACAGAGCAACATAATTAAATTGTTTGGGGGATCTGTTTCAAGAAAGTTTCCTATGCCAAAAAAATTGAAAAGTCCAAAATGAAGTGAAATTTGTAGCTGGGTTTTAAATGGCAATTCTTATTTGTTTATTTGTTTGTATAATTACCCATTTATTTTAAGATCACCAGTTAGAACTGGAGTTTGGAACACTGTGCATGGAGGGGAGAGATGAAACAGACGCAATACAGTGTTAAGATCAAAGAACCCCATCAATTCATTCGGAGAGTCAAAATCCAGCTGAGCCTCCGAGCCCTGTCTGCATAATAAGAAAGGTTGACTAAAACACAAGGATTAAACAGATGAGCTGTCTCCTGCGGAGGCGTGGGAGGGAAGCCCCACTGCGACACTTGTAAAGACACTTTGGAAGCATACACCTGCTCCTCCGCAGTCAAACCTACAGGAGACCAGCCTGGCCAAAGACGTTCCACTAAGGCATTAAATTGCCAGTGTTAAGAGAAAGGGATACATATCTGATGGACATATATTCATTTTTATTCATTAAGACGTTTTCAGTTCAGGAAAATGACAAATTAATAAATCATCTCCATTTTTCCAAGGTGACTTAGCAAGTGCTTGTTTTTCAAAATTGCGAAAAAATAGATAGTGCAAATTTTCCTATGTCATGAAACAGCATTAGGAAGATACCTCCCTCATGATCAAATATTTTTCTCAAATGAACAGTGCTTTTCTTGAGACAATCTTGAATAACATTGGTAAATATATGTTAGTTCCATGCTCAAGAAATTATCATTTTTAGTAGCAAGAAGTATATCCCAATTTTTACGAACAGTGCCAGGTTATACTCATAGCTATGCTAAATTACATAATTTGGTTCTAAACAGCAAGAATACAGCAGAGGAATTAAATGCATTTAAGGTGCTGAGCCTGTGACAAATGTTACATTTATTCTAAAGACCTCATCAGAATGTTATGTTGTAGCTACTGATAAATTATTCTGAACACAAAAACAATTTTCTTTAAGGAAAGCTAAACTACTTTTAGAAAGCTAAGCAAGCTGGGCCTTTAGCAACATAGACCTCCTGGGAAAAAATTGTATGGAGTTATAACATTAGATTTCAAATAAAATTTTAAAACTCTATCTTTGGTATGAATTAACTTTCTCAAGTACTGCACGTAGGGTGATTTGAAATGCAATTAATAGACCCAAATAAATGGTAAGCATTAGCTTTTGTTTTATTCATCAAAATAAGCAATCCAATTTGAAGTGAGAGCAACTGAGTCTCTCAGGAGTAGAACAACTTACACAATTTCAACAAGTGGCTTCATGGGGTTGACGTGCAGTTTTTGACTTGCTCCCTCCTAGCAGTCTAATTACGGTATCACTCACTCACTTAACCAACCAATACATTTTTTACAGTGTTGATTATGTGTAAGGCACTGTGAGGCATACAGAGAAGAATTACACATGAACCACAAGCAACAGGACTAAACCATAAGTGCCAAATGTATGATGTAGATAAATGCTGTAGAAGTGGATCATCGTGGGATGAAGAAATAGAAGTCTTCATTTAAGATACGGGATTTGATTTAAGACACAAGGCATAAGGTGAAGACAGAGGTTGAGAGGAGTGAATTGGTTTTCCAGGGAAAAATACAGAGATAGAAGAAGCTGGAATCCAATTTGAGAGAGAGCATGTCATTCCATTTGGCTAGAGAACAGACTTATGCGTGAGGTTAAAAAGGTAAGAAAGGTAATTACTAGGAGTCTTTACTACTACATAAACTGCTTTCCCCCAGTCTTTCTCAAGATGTAGTCTGGAGAATCACCTGGCATTCCTATTGAAAACTCAGATGATCCAACCCACTCCAGACATTGTGAATCAGAATCTTGGGGGATGAGAACTGAGAAACTGGATTTCTGAAGCAACTCACGTTATAGTATTATTTTTAATCTCTTAGGCAACAGAGAACCTTTAAAGTATTTAAGGAAAAGTGAACAGAAGGACTTTGGGAAGGAGGACGATTGGGAGACAAGCAGAAACTATGCTTTGCTCCAAATAAACATTAATATTTTCATTTCTCTCAAAAGCAGAAGCCCTCAATCCAAGATCTCATCAGAAATTCCTACATATCAATATTCCAATGTTTTTAAGAATGACTTTGAAGTTCAACTTATTTCAGTAAGACATTACTATTACCTTAAAAACAACTTTTTAAAGTTCTCTACTTCTGATAACTCTAACTGTCCATTTTTAGAAGGTCTCATTCAATTCTAACCCTTCAGATAAATAAACATTAGCTTGGTTAATCCTTAGAGAAATTAGAAAATCATCCACAAATACTATCATACTGGTCAAAAATTAAGAGAATAAATAGTATTCAGTGCTGGCAAAGGTACTGGGAAAAGAGGGCTATTAATATCTATTTGTAAGAATTTAAATTGATCGAAGGGGCAATTGGTAATACCTGACAAAATTTTAAATGCCCATATTCTTTAATGAAAGAAAAATGTTTCTAGTAGTCTAGCTTAGGAAAGTCACCACACATGTGCACGATAGATGAAGCTCATGCATATGTACACACATGCACATGTACACACATGCACACACACACACAGATGCCCATATAATTATTAATTTACAGAAAAAAGTGGGGACAATTTATAAGCACATGAAAGGAACAGTTACATCAAGGTACATACATACTACAGGAAACTATGCAATTATAGATTCTGAAAATCTACATGTTCTTGTGCAATAATGTTCAAGATAAATAATTTAAAAACAAATTGTAGAAAAATATTCATAAAATAATCCAGTTTTTAATGAAAAAAGCAATGTGTATTTATGTATATGTTTCTTTGCTTATAGAAAAAGCTCAGTTGACAGTGACAGGACTGAAGCATGGGACAAGAAGTAAAGGGCAGCACTTTCACTTTTTAATTTACACACTTCTGTATCAATGAGCAAAAACTTTTCTGTAACTTAAAAAAAAACAAAATTTTAACTTTGAAGTAGCTAAAACAACTTACATAGTGTTTGCAAAATCTTTTAAAAGCTTGCTAAAGACTTGAAATAACTTCAGAAAAAAGTGTCACTTTTGAAGATAGTGTGGAGGGGAAACTGGCTTCCTTTCATTTTAATTAATTAATTCTCAAAATTTAATGGAATTGCAGGCTTTAAAACTCATTCAGAAAATTTACCGATGTACACGCTGACTTCCACTTTACTAAAACCTTTCCATTTTAATTAACCTATCAATCTTTCCACCTGATGGAGGAAAGTTTATAATTAGATTTTTAAAGAGCCCGAAATAAATACATACATGTAATATTAGAGTTTATAGGCTAAATTATGTAATTTTGCGCTTGATTATTCATTAGATAACTTCCATAAGACCACCTTCACTTATTCTCGAATTTAATACCTTTGGTAATTGGTTCTCATAAAATATTGTAACTTATCATATATGGGAATGCTGAATATGAACACATATTTTACAGTTAAGTTTAATAGCAATTTGTTCTCAAAATGACATCTAACAGATGCCATTTAAATCACTAACTTTATTCTATGTAAAAGATGAGATTTTTTTCTATACCAATACAGCAGTTTTAAAAAATTAACATAAAAGTAACATGCATTTTTTTAAAGTTCAGAAGTTTCTTTTAACTCAAAACAGTATGAAAAAAATATAACTTCATCATGAAATTCTCCATAATTAGGTAGATTGATGTATTTCCCATGTTTCACTTTTCAATTTTTCAGCATTTGGTTTTAATCTGCATTCTTACTTCACTTCAATTCAAAGAAATGTGAGAGGAAAAGTAAAATACAAAGTAGTCTGGGTGTAAATTAAGTCCCATTTTCACATATTTAAATAGCACCAATAGAACACACGTATCCTTTGCTAGCTGTATATGTCACAGTGAAAGGAACAGCTTTACCAAGCCCATTCGGATAGGAAATAACAAGGAGAAAACTACTGCAGAGTTTCATAGAGCAATAGCAGCTAGCAAGTCCTACAGCTGTTATTTTATTTAAATTACTTTTAAAATCATGTTTTACAAACTGCAAGAATACTTAAGCAAAGACTAAGTTCTTGAGCAAAACTACTCTTTCCAGACGTAAAATGGGAAAGTTCAATAAAATAAAAAATAATATAAAAGACTTTCTCTAGATATATGATCAAAGGAAATAGTCAACTATTGTTGGAATAGTTTCTGCATCACTTAGGCATAAATAAGTCAAAATTGGAGATTTCACCCCTCGACTGTATGGATCAATAACTTAGGACTTTTAGAAACTCTTCGAATCCAAAGCTACAGTCAGGTTAATACAGAGAACATCTAGGAAGAACCAAAAATCATTTACCAACAAGGAGCTTATAGAAGAGATCAAGCATATACCAGTGAAACAATTAGAAAATAATTTTTCAATAATAGAGTGTTACTATGTGCGGTACAATCTCAGAACAAAGGGTGGGCAACAAAATATGCAGAATAATTTCTCTGGTGTTTCCCAAATCCTCAGGTATAATTATTTTTCCTCATAACTATAACAAACATGTAAATACATATTTCATTTTGCCATGTAAGATTTGCAAACATTAGAGGTAAAAACAGTAAAGTTCCATGGCACATACTACTGGCTCAACAAACATTGTTTGTGATGATGCTTTTTATTTCTTTCCGCTCTTAGGAAAACTTGTTTATGCATTCAACAGATACTATTCAGCTCCTCCTACACGCTAGATACTTTGTTGGGTACAATGCTAGGTGATGGGGCTAGAAGATGATGATAAGGTCCTTAAACAGACATGAACTGGTGTCTTTGTTTTAAAGGTTTCTCAAAGAAAGTAATTCTATAATCTCCCTTAGCAATGTTTCCCAGGTCTTCCTCCCCCACACCACCATAGTTTATTTCAACACCAGAAAATACTCTTTGTTTCTTATTTCTATTTGCTTTCAAATAATATAGTAGGTACTCTTTACATACATTAAGCTTATGACATGTGTGCATGGGTTTTTGTTTGTATGTTTTTAAATACCTTTTAAATAAGGTAAAAGCTACTGGACAGCAAGGCAGAATAATAAAAACATATTAATATTTGTTCCAATTTCGGCCTAATTGTAAGAAGCTTAGAAGGAAAAGAAATTCAGTTCAATTTTAAATTTAGGCTACATTAATCATATCAGGAAAAAAGACTGCTCCCCATAGACTTCTTAATATTTCAAATTTAGTTGACATGGATCATGATTTACTTTTGTCCTGACTTAACTGAAAAATGTCTTTCCATACAATTACTATCACACTGCATGCCCAGGTATGCTGGGGGTTAATGTCATAGCTTTAGGTTTAAACATAATTACTATTAACTTTTTAAAAGGTTTCACAAAACCAGCACCTCGAAAGTATTGAAATTGGTCTTAATTCTTCAGTGTTTGTGCAGCTGCAGAACTTTCCATTTTTTCTCAAAATATTTCTACTTGATCAGCAACAGATGAATTCATTAACTTCATTATTAATTCAAATGATTTTTTCATTTTTGTAAGCTCCAAGCTTGTCTCACTAAGATCTGCTCTCTCTCTGTGTTCCATAAAATGTAATCAATCTCTATAAAATGGTATTTGTCACTTTGCTGAGAAAAAAAATCAATATATCTTCCAAGGCTGAACAGGCATTTAATGCAACGAATTGAAGACTGTTAGAGAAATTTAGTTTGCCAGGAGTTTAGGACAAGCTAATCGAAATCTAGAAAATTCACAGAAGGTTGGCCGATGAAATATATAGATATGCCATGGAAATTAATATTTGGGCATTAGAATAACCTGTCATCTCCAATCCTGACAAGAAAATGGATTTAGACAGGCAAATCTCCAAGGGGTCACCATTTTAAAACACAAAAGTGAAATCCATATACCAAGAAAACATTTCTTAAACATGGCTGATAAATAAGAAAGGCTTCATTCTCTTTTCCTATAAAATTTACCAGATAGAGAGAGACTTTTAGAATTGCAAAATTGTAAGAAATCTTAAAGGTCAGAAACAGGTAGGGATATTGTCATTGGAAATATGTTGGCTGAGAGCTTTTTTGAGCTATAAATTATTGCAGTGGTTAACTACAGAGCGAAAATGGTGTTAGAGAGTTGGAGAACCCAAAGCACATGCTGGTCTGCCTGTCAGAGAGGACCTCTGCCCTGTTCTTCCAGCTCCTGCTGAGTTACCTTCAGCAATCAGGAAGCTGGAGACCTCTTGCCCCTTGACAACCTCTTGTCTGCAGAATAGCTCTTCTATGTAGAAAATTCTCCGTCTTGAGCTGAAATCTATTTTTTAAAAAACTGCCACACTTTGGTTCTAGTCCTATATTTGGAATGATGTAAAGTCAGTCTGTTGGTTTTCCTTTGAATCAGCCCCTTCAGTGCTTGAGGTCAGCTATCACTTCCTGCAGCCCTTTTCTTTTCTGGACATAAGTGATCTCGTTCGCTCACCCATTTCTCCTAGCACTCCATTTACCACACACCTGGTTTCAGAAAATTCGTGGTTTTGTCTTCCCAAGATACTCCAACTTATCAATATCATTTTAATTGGCATCATCAAAAACAACCATAAGAAAACAAGTATGTTCAATAAGCATAAAATCCGTTAGAGCCCTGACTTACTGTAGTTAGAAACTGCAATAAAAAAAGCGAATTCCTTCTTTCTTTCTCTCTTGCAGCAGATTTACTGGATTTGTTTGGGGTTGAGTTTATGATCAATTAGAATGGAAGCTCTGTGAAGGCAGGAATTCATGTCTATTCCGTTTACTCCTGTATCCTCAGCACTGAACACACAGCATATAGAAAATAAATATTTGGTGAATGAAAGTAGGAATAAAGAAGTTATTAAAAGCTGCTAGATCTTAGCCTTTTTACACTGCTAACAAGCCAGGTTCCTTCCATTCTGTACTTATATAACTGATCTTTAAAAATCTAAATATAGGGCTTTGTATCTGCTGAATATTGTCTTGGTTTATATTAAGTGTTTGCAATAGCTAAAACTATATCGAAATGCATATACGGTCATGTACCGCATAATGATGTTTTGGTCAATGGCAGACCACATACACAACAGCGGTCCCATAAGATTAGTACCAAACAGCCTAGGTATGTAGTAGGCGATATCATCTAGGTTTGTGTAAGTACACTCTGTGATGTTCGCACAAGCATGAAATCGCCTAACGACGCATTTCTCAGAACGTATTGCCATTATTAAGTGATGCATGACTGTACGTGAACAAAAGGACTGTAAAGCCATGGCTCTGGTTAGCCTATGAGACTTAACGGATTCACACTCATTTTGTCATTCTCATATCCCATAGTTTTCGACTAGAAAGTAAACATCTCTCCATAGGTTAATTCATTCCACTTTTAATCCTGCTGTAACTAGTTATTTCATTTGCTCTTCAAAGTGACACATCGTTTTCTAAGTGAGACTACTGAGGCACAGTAAGATTAATAACTTGCCCTAGGTCACACCATAAGTAAATTCCAGGGTCAGGATTCAAATTCAGATACCTCAGGACCAAATCGCATATAGTAGTCCCCTTTGTCTGCGGTTTCGCTTTGCACATTTTCAATTACCCAAGGTCAACCTCGGTCTGGAAATATTGAATGGAAAATTCCAGAAATAAACAATTCACAAGTCTTAAATTGTATGCCATTCTGAATAGTGTGATGAAATCTCGCACGGTTCTGTCCCATCCCGCCCAGGACATGATCATCCCTTTGTCCTGTTTATCTATGCTGTATAACTACCTGCACATTAGCCCCTTATTTAGGAAAAAACATAGTATATAAAGGATTTGGTACTATCCGAGGTTTCACGCTTTCACTGGGGGTCTTAGAATGTATATCCTGTGGATAAGGGGGGACTACCGTATGCTTTTCACTATTCCAGGATCTCCAATTTAGGCGAAAGGTAATTTGAAAGTGAAAATAATGGCAAAGAATTTCTAAGAGAGACACTTTGGAATAAATTGTATCCCCCTGATAAAGAGAAGTCTGATTTCCCAAAGAGTTTATTATAAGTTCCCACTAGCAAACCATTTTCCTTAAGATACTTCTCTTCTCTGCTCTATAGTCTCAAACAATTAGAGATCAAAATACTAAAAGAAATTTCAACTGTGAAATTTATGTCAAATTTTGAATTTTCATCCTTATGACTGAAGAAGCTGGCAGAGGTAGAAAACAAAAGAAGATCTAAAGAACAGAAATGAGATCTCCATTGTGGGCTCCATGTGAATAAACTGTGTTTGCGCAATGACAAACCAACTCTGAAATTCAACTTTAAAAAAAATGTGCATAGAAAAAAAATCTGCACACCTACTTGTTTGGTGGGAACAAGCCAAGATAGACTAGTGATAAATTGAAATTTAAAAAATTTTGGCAATTTGGGTGGGGGTCACATAGAGTGAATATGCGTGAAAAATATTTGCATCACCTACCAGGTTTCCAGAATAACTCCCTATGTGATAAAAGATCAAAGCAATTTTTATTACCAATGAATTCAAGCAACTGCCAATTTAGTGACAATATTTTTCTCAAATAAGTTAATATTCTACTGAGACAAACTGGATAATCACTTGTTTGAATAATGGCATTATGACCACACAATGTACGAACCTTTTTAACTATCTTGAAAATTCAATTTCTTATTAAATAAAAATACATGATGGTTCATCTTCATTTGCAGCAAATCTGTGGATGCTCAATTCATTTGATGACTTACTTAATTACAAAGTAAATAAGCGACTCATGGGAATCTCTTATTAGATGGCAACAATAAAAACTAAAGATCTTATTTTCTCTGTGAGCTTAACTTGCTCCTCTATGGTTTTCATGAATAGGATTTTTTAATGCCTCCATCTATTGTTGCCACTCTCAGAAAATGTTTTTCATAGAAGCTTAACTGTAACTTTCACCAATATTACAAGATTGCTTCATTTCTGAGGTCACCAAACAAATCAAGTTAATTAAATGTATTTCTTTGTAATCAACATAGCAGATGACTACATCTTAAGAGAGAGTTATATTAAGTCTTCTGTAAACATGTTTCCTCCATTATAAGTCTGAGTGTACATGTGCTTATGTTAATTATCTATTCACCAATTAACTTACTCATTGACTACCCACCTTGTGTCAAACACTGTGCTAAATCAAGGAGATCTGAAGAAATAAGGCACATTCTTCAGATAGGTACAGTCTATTGGGTAAGACATGAATATTCACTTAAATTTCATCACAGTGGGATAAAAATAGTATCACAGAGAATTAAGCTCAAAGATGTCATGGGGACCTAGAAAGATGACTTTCACGCAGCAGGCACTCAATAGATATTTGCTGACTGGATGAACAAGTGAATGAATCACAGCTGCACTAGGAGAAAAGAGGAGAAGCACCTACATCAAACTAGGGCAATTGTGCTAGGGATTGGAGTCAAGGATAGGAGGAGATGTTTGACTTTACCTATATTTATTTCCAGAATATTCTGACCTCCTTGGGGTTGAGGGTGGGAGGGGAAGGGAAATGAGAAAAGGTAGAACAATTTTAATTGTCCATCTAAGAGGATTTTATTATAAGGTGATTTCTCTTACATGGCAGGCTCTCAGCCTGAATCTTGAAGGAAAGCACAGTTATTTTTATGCTGATTACCTTGAAGCCCTAAGATCTAAACTGACATATTTGGATTTAAGTGGTTGAGAGCAGAACAGGTCTCTAAGTTCAGTATATAGTCCACAATGTCACACTCCAGAGAACGTATTAATGAAAAAGCTTTCTATATTTGAAGGCAGATTTCAACCAATTTCTGTGACAGTAAATTAAAGGTTTGGCTTAAGATGCCAACAGAATAAAGGAACTCTAGTATCAGGCACACAGCTACAGTGGAATCTTTATAAATAAATTTATAATCATCCCCTCTCTAAGGTCTATCTTTAATATCCCTTAGTGTCTAGAATGCAAGTGAGAATTCAAGCATTTACAAAGACAGCTGTTGACACAAAGTAATGATAGTCTCCTGGTTAAAACCCTATTCAAATGATAAACTTTCTGAAAACTCATTTTATTACAAAAACTCAAGAAAATGAAAACAATGAGTCTAGGTTTCCTCCACTTACGCTGCCTTACACAATGATGAGTCTACTAAAGAAGAGAAGCTGATTCCTGTCTAAATATTTGTCTTCTTTGAAAGCTGGCTTAGAATAAATTGTCCTTCTGCTACAACCTCCAAGAATGTAGAAAAAATAAAAGCAATGTCATGTCTTGATTGTTTAGTCTCTGCCACCCTACATCACCACATTACTGCTGTCAGACTTTTATATTTTGCTCAACTGTCCTTCTGTCATACCCCTGGATCAATTTCTAACTCTAGATAATTTAATTAATAGATCTCTATTCCTGCTCCAAAGCTATTCAATGATGCTAAAAAGAAACTTACAGCACTGCACAAATTGATGCCATTACAAAGGGATGACTTCTGAAACTCCTGCACTGGAACCTACTCAGCTCCCTGTCCTAGTCCTCAAGGCAGCTGTTACAAGTCTTTACTACTATTCTCTTGTCAACTCAGAGCTGACTACCTTGCTTCCTACTTCCTAAAGAATAAAGAGCCCAAGAGGAAGAATCTTCATTTTGCCAATTGACAATTGTCTTTAGCTTCTTTCCTCCTCTCTTGGAGCAGAGAGGAATACATTTTTCTTTCCAAGGTGGATTGTACATTTTTCTTTCTCTTCCAGGTGGATTGTACCCTCTTCCACCTCCCCCAGGAGGTAATGTGTTTCTCTTCTGTTTCTCTCTTTCATTAAAAACTCATCTCTCTCATTTTCTCAACATCCTTCCTTTGATCCTACCACTGCTTGTAGCCACCATTCTATCCTCCATTCCTTCAACATCAAATGTGTAGAAAATGTAGGCTGCCTGCTATTGCAGACTCTTAACTTCCTCACGTCATATTCATTATTCCATCTATTATAATATGTTTTATATTCCCACTAATTCACTCTTTCTGAGATGACCATAACTTCCTTATTTCCAACCAAATGCTGATGCTTTGTCTTTACGCTTTTTGTTTTACGCAGCTTAGTGAAATTTGGCACCAATAGGACTTCCTTCTGCTCAAAATCCAATTTGCCTTGATTTCTGTGTGTCTCTCTTCTTTAAGCTTCTCTTGCTTCATTCTGTCCCCATTGACAGACTCTGCAATTCTACTCATCCTTGAACTGTGCGCTAGTTTGCCAGGTTTCTATCTGTGGTACTCTCCCCTGCTTTAATTCATTCTCCTAGACTTGGGGGTGAGGGGAAATGTGCTCTACAGCTACATAAATACTATCTCCTCTATTCAACACTCACCTGTCTCAAAAGGTACAAATAAGAATGAAACAGTCACAATTCTTTTGAGTTCCATGCCCACATTACTAATCTCTGGAGATCTGTACTAACATTCCTCCCACATGTTTCAAACTTAACATCTATCCCTCTCCTCATCCCCAGGAAGTTATCCTACTTCCAGAATTAATCATAATGGCATTATCAACCATTACAGTCTTCTAAGCCAGAACATCCAATGCCATCCTTGACTCCTCCCTCTTTCTGTCCTATCCTATTCAATTGGTCACTAACATTTATCACGCTATCTCAGAAATGTTTATTGAATCCAGGCTCTTTTCTTCATTCTCCTCATTAAGCCTAAAATCAGCTCCTTATTATTTGGGAGGCTAGAAAATTATAAAATCTTCCTTATCTTTCCCTTCTTGTTTCTTCTTAGAGCCAGTATGTATATTTTCCC